CAGGCATGTGTTGGCTCTCACCACTCTTAGGTGCCACTCAGGGATGGGTAATTTAACTCTCCTACTGTCAATTCCTCAAGTTTCTTACACGGATAGCATAAATGCCTCCAAGACAACTTGATCTCGCCCAGATCCCTTTCTTATCTAACCCCAACCCAGTCTCCTGATCTTCCTTTCCCCTTGGTGTTTGTGTACTCCTCATGAAGCAGGGATCCACAACAGTGCCTGGTGCAAGGGTCCCATGCATGACTCAGGACCCTCACTGAGCAGTGTTCAGTAAGCCCCCAGCCCTGGATACTTGCCTTATCAAGCAGGCAGTAAATGTCCACGCAACTTGGACATGGTAGCGCCTGGCCCATAAGGGGGGATCCAGATGGGAGGGCACAGTTGGGAAAATGGTGGTAAGAATTGCAAGGGGAGGCAGACTTAAGGACAACATGGAACATTCCTAGGTAAGATTTGGCCAGACTGATTCTAAGAAGAACCCCAGATGGGGAATGGATTGGGGCTGGTACAGGAGGAGCCTGGAGGGCAGAGAATGGCTCTCATGTCAGAGCCATGGGATGGATAAGAAAGTGATCTGGACAAGGCAGGGACCTGGCAGGAGATCAGGGCAGGCTTGCTTTGATGATGCAAGGCTGAGCAAATGCCAGACAGGGAGTCAGGAAATCTAAGTTTTAATCCTAGACGTACCTTCCCCATTCCCTGCCAATGTCAGGAACTGCTGCATTTCTCCAAGTTTCTGATTTCTCACTAGTAAAACAGAATCCTCTCCTCACAGTGCCCCGTGGCTCTGGGCCTGTGTTTAGGGATCTGCTAGTTTTCCACAAGAGTTTTCAATTAGGTTTTTCATTCAATGACCACCCCCCCCCAAAAAAAACTACAGTAAACCTTTTGCAAGTCGCCTTATAAACAGTGCGACACACACACGCTTTCAGTTCCTACAACTTCAGTGCCAGCATCCGTATTTGTTAACAACTTCCTTGATGCCAAACTACACTACTTTCACTGTCCTGGCCTCATAAGGATAGAATGAGCAGAAGCACACTGAACGGGTGAAGGATGTGCCAGGTCTGAATGAAGTCTGGCTGATCACAGGGAAAGATTCGGATCTGCAAAGAGGGAAATTTAGACCGGCACATCAAGTAACCACTTAGAAGAGGGTTAAGGAGCATTGTCAGTCTGACAAGTATCGTCAGACAAGCCTCACAGCCGCCCAGAGCAGTGCTTTCGTTTCAGCCAAGTAAGGCCCGGTGATGAATATTTCAACTAGAATTCAATGGATTTTCTTTGCACCTTATCTGTAAACCATTGCTATTGTCGTTTTACTGCCTCTATGTGCAGTAAGCAAGAGGAATTCACGCTAGCTTAGCATTTGTATGTATGGCATATATTTTAAGTCACAGTGTTGCAACAGCCTTTCCTTGTTCAAGTTTGATAAACATGGGCCAAAGGCTGTCCCTTCAAGCTCCAACACGTACCTCAGCATTCTGGTCTCAACATTTCCAGCCTGTCTGGTATCTCAGCGGTTCCTTCCCTCACGCCCCACTGTCCTTAGGACAAAATCTTAGATCTCTCACATGCCCCGGATGGCCCTTGGGACCTGTCCTGGATACCCTCATTCCTGGCCCAAACGTCTCTGGCTTCCTACGTACCACGCCCTCTGCCCCACTAGCGCTGCTTGGGGCCCTGGCACTCAGTGAACCTTCGGAGCCTTCAGGTCTCTGTGAAATCGCTCCCCACCACACAAGAGCAGGTGCCTTGCTAGAGCCACCTGTCACCTGCTGTACTGTCCCTCCCAGGAATGTCCGTGTGATTAGTATTCAGTCATGACTCTCTGACTCCAAGAAGCCAGGGGCTAGGACTCCTCAGTCCTCTACTGAACACACCATGTGCCTGGCACAGTGCAGGCACCCACACGCAGGACAGTGGTCCTCGTCCACTCAAGCCTCTTAAATATCCACACATGACCCGCTGCCCCACAGCTCCCAGAACAGACAGCCAGCTCAGAAAGTTGTACCCGGGGACCAGAGAAGTTTCTCTCAAAGTCCATGACCAGAGTAGGGGCTGAACAAGGCCCCAGGTGAACTCCGTGTAATATGCTCTGGGACTTTGGACAAGTTACTTAACCTGAGACTCAGTGTCGCTGTCTGTAAAATGGGGAGAATAGTACGTATCTGTGGCAAGCTGAATAAAGATGTCCACATCCTAGAACTTAGAAGCTGTGAATGTATTATTTATATGACAAAGAGGACTTTACAGATGTTATTAAATTATTATTTAAGACGGATGATAATCCTGAACTGTCTCGGTGGACTCAATGTAATCAAAGGGTCCTTGGAAGAAGGAGGAAGTTAGTAGAGTCAGTCAGAGAAGACAACGGGTAACAGAAGCAGAAGCTGGAATGATGGGCCTTAAAGGTGGAGGAGGGGGCCTCTAGAAGCTGGGCAAGGCAGGGAAATAAACTCTCTCCTAGTCTGCAACACCTGGATTTTAGGACTTCTGACCTCCGAAACTGTGAGAAAATGCATCTGCGCTGTGTTAAATTGCCACGTTTGTGGCACTGTACTACCAGAATGACAGGAAACGAATACACAGCCTCACAGGGGTTTTGTCAGGATTAAATGAGCGCATGGCACACAGTAAGAGCTCCCAAAGTGCTGGCTGGCATGGTTACTCCTTTCGTCAACTCCTCACGTGGTTGCCAGAGTGATCTTTCTAAGCACACATCGCATCACGAAGTCCCATCTTCAAGCTTTCAGAGCTGCCCACGGCATGTGACGGCAGCTCCTTCAGCCTCTTCTCCCAGCTCCCGCCTCCCAGACTGCTCCACGCCCAGCCAGCCAGCACAGCTTGTCCTGTCTGACTTGCCTCGATACGCCGTGAGCTCCACAGGGCAAGGGCTCGGTCTTATTCTGCGGCCTCAGCTCCCCTCACAGGTCCCAGAACACAACACAACACAAAAGCCCTTGATACACAGCTGTCCAACGCACTGATGTGACACTGAGCATGACACTGAGCACACCTGGGCTGCATTCTCCTTAGATCTTTCCAGACTGGACTCCCTACCTCCTCGTACAGCGCCCTGGGTGCCCATCAATCTGACTGCATCATCCCTCTGCTTAAAACCCTTCTACTGCTCCGTATAGTCCTTAGGATAAGGGCCAAGCCTCAGGCCTCATGGGTTCTTCTGCATTTCCATCTTTATTTTAACTACTCAGAAATTCTCTTAGTGCCCAGAAAGCCAGGCCTCCCAGCTTCTGGACCCTTATGTATGCTGCTGCCTCTGGCTGAAACACCCTCCCTTACTCTCTTTGCCTCGCTAACACCTCCTCATCCCTCAGATCTCTGCTTGAAACTCCTTGAAGGTATGAATTGTTGTTTATCACATGCCTTGCAGTATCCCTGGGACCCAGCAATACAAGGCACCTGCCGAAGGAATAGGAAGTTATCATTAGACCCTATATGCTTCCCGGCATCCGACTCACTCATCTTGAATCCTGGATTAGCCCAGACCTGGGGGTTCTGCCTTAGTGCTCCTGGCCTTGACCCCTACCCATCTTCCTGATCTGTACTTGTGACAGCCCCATGCTGATTGGTCATGACTTGATCCATGGTGCCCCCCCTACCTCGACCCCAGCCCGCAGAATGCCAGCACTTACTTCAGCTGTCCCAAATCAGGACCTGGCACTTCCACCAGTGGAAATGGGGAAAAGCATTGTTGTGGACCACTGTTAAATAAGGTAACAGGAGTTATAGGCTTATCTTTTTGACAAGCTACTATAGTATTCATACATACATACTGATGACATTCCCCTCTACCTGAACTCTGTCTAAATGTGTATGAAAATCTAACCAACTCTCGATATTTCTTAAGAAAGGCCTTAAAACAAACAAAACAAAAACAGTGTCTGGAGACCAAGCATTAGGGGTTCTCACAGTGCCTCCTTTTCAATACACTCAGCTTCCTACCAGCTAACCAACAGGTCTGACCCATGTGTTAGCAGGCGAGTAAATAAAACTTGTGTTTCACACCCTCCGCAATCTTTTAAATAAAACAATAAATAAAAACAGAAAATGCCAGAGTACAACAGATGTTTTCTCAGGCGAGTAAATAAAACTGGTGTTTCACACCCTCTGCAATCTTTTAAATAAAACAAATAAAAATAACAGAAAATGCCAGAGTACAACAGATGTTTTCACAGAGCTTTTGTTTCAAGTGATACATACACAGGACCGTACCATCACAATGGAAAAAATATGGGCTAAAGTCAGAACATGGGCTTACTATGGGCTAAGGTCAAAAACTGAAAATTCCTAAGCGGGCTAATCCTTGTTTTCTGATCATTTTCCCTTCTTATACCCAAGTAGTCTCCACGTTACTTCTATACCAAAATATTTCCTATGTCACTTTATAGCTATAAGAACGCTAGGCACTGAGGTGCTGAGAGGGACCCAGAATAAATCAGCCAGCCAAAGCCAACAGCCTCTCCACTCCTACACAACACATAGGGCCAGCTCCGCGAAGTATGTGACCCCTTTTGGAAGACCTTGAGTCTCCACATGTCTGGCCAGGTCTTGGGACTCCCACACCTCTAACTTGAATGAGCCAAGCTTCAAGACTCTTGGGCGGTACCCACACCTGTCCTCCTCACCCGCGCCCGGGCCACACCCTGCCGGCATAGAGGGTGCAGAGCCTCAGCCCTTCAGAAGTGGGTCAGGGGGCATCTTGGGAGCATCGTGTAACCCCAGTTCCCACACTTCCTGTTTACACTACCTCTTCACCCATCCCAGGCCCCTGGGTCGATCTGTCTGTAGGTGAGCCGAGTCGGAGCGCCGGCGGGTCCTGGCCGCAGGACGAGGGGCTGGCCCGGGCGCACAGGTCCGGCAGGCTGCAGCGGCGGGGGACGGGGTTGGGGGTGGTCAGAGGTGCTGAGTTGCCTTCCGGACCCGGCCACCACGTGCGCGCTCGGCGACCTCCCGCACACTGCCGCTCTTACCCGAAAGTCATGGGCAGTGTCCTTCACCGGCTGCACGCGGTGCCCCTGGTGCCGGGGGTCGGCCTGGCAAGAGCAGCACAGCAGCTCCTTGTCGTCGAGGCAGAAGAGGCTGAACTGGCCACGATGCGGGCGGCAGAGTCGCGGAGAACGGTGGCCCGCCCAGCGCGCGCCCTCGGCCTCCTCGCGCAGCAGCTTCTCGACCAGGTTGTTGAGGGTGTGGTTTGTGCGCAGGTCGGCGAGGGCCGCTCGGTCCTTGCACACCGGGCAGGTGGGCGCCACCTGCACCTCCCAGCAGCGGGTCACGCACACGCGGCAGAAGTTGTGCCCGCAGCGAAGAGTCACGGCGTCGCGGAAGGGGTCGTAGCAGACGGCACAGAGCAGCTCCTCCTTGAAGGAGCGGGAAGGCCCGGGGGACGCGGCGGGACCCAGCTCCATACCCGCAGTGGCGGGATCCAAACCTACAACTTTGGCCCCACCCCTCCCACCAGCCAGGAGGCTCCGGGACCCCGCGGAGAGCGGCGCCCGGCCCCTTCCGTTCTGAGCGCTGAGCGACAGCAGCGCCGTCCAATCGAGAGGGGCGCTCTCTGGAGGCTCCGCCTCAGTTCCGATCGACGTAGGAAACCTCGGGAGAGCGGGCGGACCCCTGCGCTCTGCGGTCCTCGCCGGCCCCCGCCGGTCCCCACTAGTCCTCTCCGGTCCCCGCTAGTCCTCTCCGGTCCCCGCTAGTCCTCTCCGCTCCTTGCCGGTCCTCTGCGGCCTGGCCGTGTTTAGGGAGAAGGAAACGCCCCAGTTGTGCGGCAGGGCTTCCGTGTCATCGGAAACCTATTTCCGATTTGAAATACGAAATGAAGTTGAGGCGTCTCTTCCTCAGCCACTCCCTGGGAGTTTCAGGTCCGCGAGGTCGGAGAAGAGCGAGCCCTCCTGGTCCTGGTTCCGAAGTAGAGGCTGAGTCTCCTCTGTGTCGCTGCCCTTGCACTCTTGTTCACTTAGGTTGGCCAGTCTTAATCTTGTGCCCTGGAGTAAAGAGGAACCAGGTGAGAGAAGGGGGTCCGGGAAGACCTCTCGAGAGACCTGTCCCGGGGTTGCAGAAGTGGGCAGGTCACAGTCTTTCGGAATCTGTTCCTCGTGAGTAAAATGGTGATCCTGTCACTTGTCTACGTGAGACGCGAGGACTGAACTGGACGAATCCCGGAAAGCGCTCACTACATGAGGCGGCCCCCGTTAAAGCAGAGTGAGGATCGCTGCGACCTGAGCGGTGGAAATCGAGCCTCGGCTGAATGCCTGCCTGCTGTAGCAAGCCTGGCTCTCCCAGCCCCCCATTCCTGCCTCAGTTTGATTACTTTACAGCCTCCGGACGCAGGATTCCTTTCTCCTGACACACGTCCTTTTCCCGGTTTCTGTTGTAAGACCATTCTCCCTCCATGTGTCATTTTTCTGTATTTGAGCAGAGGCACTGACTGCCTTTTTTTTGGAATATCTTCAAGGATGTTTCTGTGGTGAATAGCCTTGGACAACAAATAATGTCTCCCTCCAGGCAAAGATCTGGCAGACTTAGTCTCCATTATGAGAGATTCCATTTCCCCGAGCTTCTGAGTCCCCTAATGTAAGGCAGCCTACTATGGCCCTCATCACAGAGGCTTGTGGGAATCGGGGCCCAGAAAAGGGGCCCAACTGTTAATTCTCCGACTATTGTTACCAACATTAGTAATGAGCTGCCCTTTGTCTCTGATCCAGGACCTACCAGCATTCTTCAACCTGCTACAGGGTAGCTTGTTAATTTGCAAAAAGGCCAAAATCTCAGTGCTTTTATAGTTCTTGACAGTTGTCTTCCAAACTTTTCCTCAGAGTAGCCTGTTTCCCATAGTGCCAAGGGGATGAATACTGCCTTCTGCAGTGTTTCTTAAGTGCTCTTCATGGTCCTCCTGCCTTATCTGGGGGAGCTTTCTAAAAGCAGACTCCGGACCCAGTGTGAGGAGCTTGCCTCTCTGAGAGGAAGGCCCAGATATCTGCATTTCACATGCTGGCCAGGTGATTCCCAGGCACACTAAAGCTTGAGGCCCACTGTTCTATATCAAATCTGGAGTTACAGTTAAAGATCCAAAAACTAACCTTAGAGGCAGTCTCTGAAAAGGCCACAAGATGGTGCTAATAACCCTACACTCCAGGCACCCTCCAGAAAATCTTGTTTTCTAGTTTTTCCCTTAACCTAGTGTTCCCTTACCTGTGTGCCCCACTGTTCTGTCAGTCTGTTTGCTGTCTGTTATTTCATTCTGTTCTTACAGGGTTTTCCCTGTTTGTTTTGTCGTTGTTGTTTTTCACAGATAAGAAAACATATCTTATTTTCTTTAAGCAGAATACAAAAGCCAGCATTCAACCAATAAGGTTCTCCAGGCTTTCTGGAAATCCGGAAAGGTGTTATGCCAAGCCCCACCACTAGCCAGAGGCATGCAGGGCTCTTTTCTGACTTCCTTTTCCTCAACCATAAACGGAAAGATCCAACTAAAAGCTCCAAGTTCTCAGCAGCCCAGACACTCTGAACTTTTTTATGCTTTGCATAATTTCAGTGAAGAAAGTGACTAATACTTACCCAGACACCAGAAAAGAGAAATCCGTTGCCAACTTCTATATCTTCTTTCAATAGAAAGAACTTTTCCAGGACGTTGAAGTTCAGGCTCTCTGTTATACCTATTAATCTAACGCAAAAGTCTGCAGACAGTTCTGGCTGTTTCTGATTTGCCCCATCCCAAACCCCAGGCATTCTTGCCGGGCACTGCCACTTTCCAAACCCCTGCTATACCCATGAAGATGTATGTAAGGAATGACAACTGTTTTTCAAATGTTATGTTAGAGAAAAAAATTCCTAGGTGCAGAAGATGGGTGAATTTTTTTTTCCTTTTCTTTTTAGATCAGCATCCTAGAAAGTGACTTGTGTAAATAAAAGGCAGAGATTAGATTAACTGTATTAGATTTGAAAAAAAAAAGCAAGACCTAACTGTACGCTGCCTAAAAGAAGCCCATTGTAAATGTAAGCATACAAATAAGTGAAAAGGATAGGAAAAGATATACCGTGCTAACAGGTGTCAAAGCTGGGTTGGCTCTGTTAATATCTGAAAAGCAGATTTCATATCAAAGACTATTATAGGGATAATATTCTATAGGATGGCCATAGAGTGCAACCATTGCAGAGCTGGCGATCGCAAGAGCAACTTCCAGAAATAGGCAACCAGGGATGCAAACGTGATGGAGAAATACTAGGGAAGTCTTCAAGGAAATCACTAAAGTCTGGTGCTTGATGTGGGACATAGAGGTGGCCGGAGCCTTCTCTGAAGCCTGAACCATGGCGGAAAAAAGAGGGTAGGGCCTCTGATTTGGTTTGAATAATGCAGGGAGATAATAATGTTAAATGTAAGTGGTTAGGGATACACCTAGTAAATGGCCTACCCCTGGGTCAGATTTGGTTGAAGACTTCTTTTATTTGATCCATGTGTTTCCCCCCGCCCCCGTATCATTTATCATTTATGATGTTGGGTTTTTTTTTTAGATTTTATTTATTTATTTATTTATTTATTTATTTATTAGAGAGAGAGAGAAAGCATAAGAGGAGAGAGGTCAGCGGGAGAAGCAGACTCCCTGCTGAGCAGAGAGCCCTATGTGGGACTCAATCCCGAGACTCCAGGATCATGACCTGAGCCGAAGGCAGTCACTTAACCAACTGAGCCACCCAGGTGCCCCCTATCATTTATGATGTTCTAAACTTCAGCTTTTATTTTGAATTTTTTTGGTTTTGTTTCAAGTTTTTATTTAAATTCCAGATAGTCAAGGTATAGTGTAATATTAGTTTCAGGAGTAGAGTTTAGTGATTCATCACTTACATAGAACACCCAGTGCTCATCACAAGTGCCCTCCTTAATGCCCATCACTCATTTAGCCCCCCCCCAACTCCCCTCCAGGAACCCTCTGTTTTCTATAGTTAAGAGTCTTGAGAATGGATCATCTCATATCATTAAAAGTCTAGAGGCAACAAGATGGGATCGGGAGGGAGACAAACCATAAAAGACTCTAATCTCACAAAACAAAATGAGGGTTGCCGGGGGCGGGGGGGGGGGGGGTTGGGGGGGGGGGGAGTATGGACATTGGGGAAGGCATGTGCTGTGGTGAGTGCTGTGAAGTATGTAAGCTTGGCAATTCACAGACCTGTATCCCTGGGGCTAACATTATATGTTAATATATATAACATTATATGTTATATGTTAATAAAAACATTAAAAAAAAAGTCTAGAGGCAAAAAGGCTATATCCAGCACAAAGACACTGAGACCCCAGATTCTTTCCAACTTGCAAGTCTGCCTATGGCTTCCTTTTGGCTGGAAATTTACAGCAACAGCTCTAGGCATCTTACCTGACATCAGCCAAAGTCCATAATTGGAATAGAGCCATTTCCCTCTACTATGTCTTATCTTCAGAGCCAAGAAACCTTATCTAAAACCCTCCAGAAGATTTCTCCTCACACCTTATTAGTCAGAACTGGGTCACACTCCCACATCTAAATTCATCACTGGCAAGAGGAGTAAGACCACTATGATTGATTTGAACCAGTCGGAATTTACCTGAGTCATGGAAGTAGAGGGATGGTAATTGAGATACGTTTGGGACTTGGCTATTTATTATGAAAGAGAGGGGAATTGCCATTAGGTAGGCAACTATAGGTTTAGGACAGTTGCCAACATTTGCAAATTAGATTTTACATTAAAAGTCAAAATTTCTCCCTTTGCCTTTTTTTCATTAAAAAAATTTAATTGTGCTAAAATAAACATAAAATTTACCATCCTGAGCATTTCTAAGAGTACAGTTCAGTAATGTTAAGTATACTCCCGTTGTTGTGCAACCAATACCCAGAACTTTTCCATCTTGCAAAACTGAAACTGTTTATTAAACAAATCTTTTTCCCTCCTTCCCCCAGCTCCTGGCAACCACCAGCCTACTTTTGTCTCTATGAATTTGATTGTTCTAGGTACCTCATGTCAGTAGATCATACAATATTTGTCTTTTTGTGCTGGGTTATTTCACTTAGTATAGAATGTCGTCAGAGTTCATCCGTGTTGTAGCCTGTGTTAGAGTTTCCTTCTTTATTTTTTTTTAAAGATTTCATTTATTTTTTATAGAGAGAGGAAGTGAGGATGAGTTGGCGGGGAGGGGTAGAGGGAGAAGCAGACTCCCCACCAAGCGGGAAGCCCAATGCAAGCCCAGTCCCAGGACCCTGGGACCACGACCTGAGGTGAAGGTAGACACCCAACTGACAGCCACCCAGGTGCCCTCCTTCCGTCTTTAAAACTGAATAATATTCCATCGTATGGGCAGAACACATTTTTGTTTATTCCCTTACCCATCGTTGGACACTTGGGTTGCTCCCACCTTTGGCTCTTGTGAATAATGCTGCTACAAACACAGGTGAATAAACACCTCTTCGAGACTCTGCTTTTAATTCATTTGGATATATGCCCAGAATTGGAATCTGTGGATAATAATA